CCCCACAGCCCCTCCTTCCACGGCCCCATGGCCCCAGCCCACCGCCGATGATCGTGTTGGCACCTGACCCTCACTCACAGCATCTCAACGGTGCCCACAACAGGAGGTCACCCTGCCCAGATGAGGAAACCCAGGGCTTGGGGAGGTCACTCCATGGCCACACGCGGGAGCCGCAGAGGCAGACAGCCTCCGGGTGACAGGCTCCCAGAGCCCCGTCCTGGTGTGGGCCCCCCACCCCGGGCAGGGCGGACACTCACGTTGGAGTAGCCGTTCACGCAGAGGACCTGCTCCAGGAGGGCCGAGAAGCTGGAGAAGATGCCGACGCCGCCCCCGAAGCACACGGCCAGGACGACGTAGGCCTTGTTCCTCGCGAGCTGAGGGTCAGCCCGTCCAGGAACTTCTCCGCGTTGGAGTGGGCAGCCCCCGCGGAGGGCGGGGTGGGGGGCACGCTCTCCCAGAGGCAGGCGGTGGCCAGCAGGCAGGCGAGGCCGGCAGGGATGATGTAGACGCCCAGCTGGGGAGAGGAGTGCACGCAGCACATGTGTGTGCAGGTACACGCAGGCCCCGCAGACACATGCACTGCACAGGTCCCTTCAGCGTGTGCTCGGGCTCCATGCCACCTCACCCACCTCCCTGGGCGACGTGGACATGGGTGAGGCTGGGCTGGGGGGCCTGCCCGTCCGGCTGCCCCCGCACCCGCAGCTTTGGCAGTGTTGCTCCGAGTGCACTGCCCTGTGTAGCTACCAGGTGGGGCAGGTGCACACTCTCAAAGACGTGTGGACACACTTGTGCCCACAAGAGCCGACCACTCATGTGCGCACACATCACACACAAACATGTGCATGCGTGTACCACACACACGTGTGCACACACCAAATACGCATGTGCACCACATAAGTGTACATGTGTGTATGCACCACACGGACACACGCAAGTGTGCACCACACAAACATATACACACCACACAAGTATACATGCATGTGCATGCACATCACACACACACGCGCGTGTGGGTGCACCCCGTGAGCCCCCTCACCATTATGGGGATGTCATCCTCCTTCTTCACCAGGGCAGGAGACAACACGTTGGCCAGGAGGATGCCCAGGGGGTTTGCTGGATGGACGGACAGAGACACACGTCAGGTCAGCCGTGGCCTGGCCTGGTCCCCAGCCCCCAGGGGAGCCCTCCGTCTCCAAGACCTGGGAGCGCAGAGGGGCCAGGATCCGTTCAGCTTCAGCCCGTCCAGGAACTTCTCCGCGTTGGAGTGGGCAGCCCCCGCGGAGGGCGGGGTGGGGGGCACGCTCTCCCAGAGGCAGGCGGTGGCCAGCAGGCAGGAGAGGCCGGCAGGGATGATGTAGACGCCCAGCTGGGGAGAGGAGTGCACGCAGCACATGTGTGTGCAGGTACACGCAGGCCCCGCAGACACATGCACTGCACAGGTCCCTTCAGCGTGTGCTCGGGCTCCATGCCACCTCACCCACCTCCCTGGGCGACGTGGACATGGGTGAGGCTGGGCTGGGGGGCCTGCCCGTCCGGCTGCCCCCGCACCCGCAGCTTTGGCAGTGTTGCTCCGAGTGCACTGCCCCGTGTGGCTACCAGGTGGGGCAGGTGCACACTCTCAAAGACGTGTGGACACACTTGTGCCCTTGAGAGCCGACCACTCATGCACGCACACATCACACATAAACACGCAAACACGTGCATGTGTGTAACACAAACACACACGTGTGCACACATCACACACAAACATGTGCATGTGTGTACCACACACACGTGCGCACACACCAAATACGCATGTGCACCACATAAGTGTACATGTGTGTATGCACCACACAAACACACACGTGTGCACCACACAAACATATACACACCACACAAGTATACTTGTGGCCGGCCAGCCTGAGTAAGTGTCCAGCAGTCCCATGACGGCCAGGGTCTCCTCCTGGTCACCCGAGGAAGGCTGCCAGGTAGAAGGTCAGACAGCGCGCCTGGACTGGACAGCGCTATCCTTGCAGGCTGTCCTACGGGCAGAGGATGACCGGCCCTGCAGGACTAACCCTCCCAGGAAAGGCCGGAGTGCTGTCAGGGGCAGGTACACTGTGCGGCAGGCGGGCGCCGGGCATGGCTGGACCACGGAAGCTGGGAGAGGCGCTGGGATGGCGGAGCCAGCGGCCCTGGCCCCCGGTGCAGGGACAGGCTGGGAAGGGGAGCACGTTGGGGGCGACCCTGGGTGTCCAGGTGGACGGGGAAGGAGGCAGGGTGGGAAGAGCTGTGGACGGCCCAGGGGAAGAGACGGTGGTGGGGTTCTGGGCTGGGATAGCAGACAGCCCAGAAGGCACCTCTGCCTGAAGGCACGCTGTGTCCCAGAAACACCTGGCTGTGGGGGCCCTGCCCAAGGCCAGCCCCACCTCCCCCACAGGAGATGGGGTGTTTGGGAGGGAGAGCCTCAAGCAGGAGACGCGCTGTAGGCACTCACTCTGGCTGGGACTCCACTCAGCAGCCCTCCAGCAAACAGAGTGTGGCTGGCCGGAGGGGTTGGGCGGTGGTGGTGGTGGGGTGGGGGGGCTTCCTGGAGCAGGTGACCAGCCACCTGGCCCCTGAGGGGTGAGGGGCATAGGGTGTCACAAACCCAAGCTCACAGTCCTCCCGCGAGCGGACCCAGGAGCTGGCCCCAGGGTCAGAGCCACAGGAGGGACCCAACTTCCTGACTGAGATTTCTGACCACAGACCCTCACATGACTGAGGTTCTGCAACAGCTGCCTTTTCTTCCTCTTTTTAAAAATATTTTTATTGCCCTGGCCGGTTTGGCTCAGTGGATAGAGCGTGGGCCTGCGGACTGATGGGTCCCGGGTTCGATTCCGGCCAAGGGCACATGCCTGGGTTGTAGGCTCGATCCCCAGTGGGGGGCGTGCAGGAGGCAGCCGATTGATGATTCTCTCTCATCACTGATGTTTCTGTCTCTCTATCCCTCTCCCTTCCTCTCTGAAATCAATAAAAAATATGTTTTTATTGATTTCAGAGAGGCAGGAAGAGAGAGAGATAGAAACATCAATGATATGAGAGAATCATTGATCGGCTGCCTCCTGCACGCCCCACACTGGGGATCGAGCCTGCAGCCCCAGGCATGTGCCCTGACCGTGACCTCCTGGTTCAGAGGCCAACACTCAACCACTGAGCCACGCCAGCCGGGCCTTTTCTTCCTCTTTTAAAGGACAGACCAGGGGACGGATCCCCAGGTTCAGAGAGTCCCAGGCGGGCCTGGCTGCCTCCTGCCCGCCTGAGCCAGCGGAGACCACATGGCATGCTCTCCAAGCACACTGGGCCTCCCCCGCATCTCCCTCCTCCCTAGAGCTGGTGGCCAGCAGAGCAGAGGTGGTCCCGCTGCCAACGGTGGCTTTGGCTTTGAGTTACAGGATCACACGGAGGCCCCAGGCTGCCCGACCGGGCCTGCGGGTCTGTGGGAGGCCAAGGAGTCGCACCCCAGCTCCTCAGGCACGCCCGCCTGGCAGGTGAGATGCGTGGGGGCCGGGGCAGCCCTGTGGGCAGTCTGGCAGCCGGCCTGTGCGCAGGTGGCCACGGAGGGTCAGGTGTGAGCTCGGGGCAGGCCTCCCCTGGACGCGCCCCTGGGGCAGGTGGCTGCTGGGAGCTGAAGGCAGACTGCCTCCTCGAGAGAACTTAGAGTGGGGCCTCGTCCGCCATCGGGTTATCAGCTTTAGGTCCCAGCTGGAGAGCAGGGCGGACGCTGTCCCCGGACAATCACCATCCTGCAGTGACACCGCGGACACCCAGGCGCCTGGCCCCATCCTTGGCTCGGCAGCCCTCCGGACCTCACTGGTCTGCCCTCTCCGACCCCGTGAGTGCGGGTCCCCACGGGCACACGTGTCATTACCCGCGGTTATGGATCTTGGTGTCTGTCTGGTCCTCTGGGTATTGGCGAGCGGGGAGAGCGAGGGTGGGCGTTCTCGCTCCAGGCCCCACCCTCTGCTCAGGGACATGGGGGTGGAGAACAGTTCACTGGCCGAGCTGCCTGCGAGCCGAGCTGAGCCGGGGAAAGGGGCGCAGGCCTCTGGGGGGAGCAACTGGGGGCTCAGGGGTGAGTCTGGGAGGAGCAGCTTGGGGACGGGCTGAGCGCCTGGCCTGGGACCAAGTCTAGGACCGGGATGAGGTCAGTGGACCCGGCAGGGAGGTCGGGGGGGGGGGGCAGGTAAGGAAGGCCCTTGGGGCCCAAGGACGGAGTCAGACCCAGGAGGGCGTCGGGGCGCAGGCGGCGGAGGAAGGGGGAGGGCGAGGGAGACCAGACTCCTACCCCGCCCGCCTCGGGGGATCCCTTGAGACCATAGAGCTCAGAACCCCTACACACGGCACAGTCAGGAGGAGGGCCCGCCCCAGCACCGAGCACCGAGCACCGAGCACCG